TCTCTCCTCATCAGATTGCTCTGCCAGATGACATACAACAATAAAAACGATCTAAGATTATATTCTTTGTTGGAATAAGTACCTCCTCATACAAGAGCTGTAGGAAAACTAATTTGGGTTTTATGCATGGGATTTCCAGTCCATGTTTCTCTAGATGTTTTAATCAGGCAACTCTTGCATTCAGTGCGCCTGGTTTTAACCAATCCCAGGGTATTTCAGTAGGACGGCACAAGCCTTCTTTAGGAGGCTCTGGGTCCAAATCAACTTCTGAAGAACTGCCCCCTGATCCACAACTGCCCACCCAAGTACAGCACTCCTACAGTGCATTCAGTCTACGACCTCATCATGATTTTCTTACTGTTTCTGTTCTGTTTGCAAAGGAAGTTTCCACAGCATGATGAGAATGTCCCACCAAGGAATTAGAAAGGTAAACTAGCCTTCCTGATTGACATGTGCTGCTAAATCCTCCCTCAGACCTAGGCCTTTGCTTAGAACCGTCTTTCACAACCTGTTGCGTTGCAATTCCAGTGCTGTCTGGAAACTATGGGAGTTGCAGTCCTACTCATCTGGAGGGCACCATGTTGGGGAAACCGGCTAAAAACCCTTTTCTATGTCGTTCAGAAAAACTCCGTTCTAATGGCTCCTGACCATAATTCCCTCTGATGGTTTGCTTAGTTGGTGGGTTGATGAATTATATTTAAACCTTGGCTTCTGAAGTTGCTTGCAGCAATTAAAATAAAGCACAAAATGCAACTGGCTTGGGAAAATTGTCGAAATTGTCATCAGCAGTACCTGGATCTAGACATATCAAAACAGTCAGCTTCTGCAGCACCGCCTGAGATGAACTTACCCACTGGGCTTATTATTTTGATTTTCTGTTTGTAATGCATGCCAGGGCACAATCCTGTGCAAGCTTAGACAGCAGAAAATCCATGAATTCCAGCATCCCCAGCCAGCCATGCCGGAAGTTGTAGGGCTTTATTTCTGTCTAAATATGCTCAGGATTGTGCCCTCCGCCTACCTGTAGCAAGGATCTGGGAGGATTCTGCTGGAACTCTGTCCAGGCACAGCAGAATTGGCCATGCTTTTTGCCTTCCATCCTTTGGCTAGAGTTGCATGTTTGCATGCCTGAAGCTTTGCCCACGATAATGACCTAACATTGTTACATGACACTGTACACACTTTTCCTTTGTGTGCAAAGAAGTCACATATGAAGCTGCCTCCATTACTCCGTGTGAGAGAGTTTTAACATGTCTATTTAAGGATGTGTTAAATGCATGCTCTCTGTTGTAATATTAGAACTGGCCTGTGGAAAGTTAGGTTGCTAAAATAAATCATTGAAATTTAATATCCTGGAATACTTGCGGAACAGGGTGTTCATTGTCGAACACAAATATTCTGACAAAGAACTGTAGGGCCCTAGCTTCATGCAGGCAAGTCATTTCATCTGCTTTCTGCAAGTATCAGAATAAAAGAAAACCAGTGCAGTTGTGAATCAAGCCTTTTCCACCATTTATAGCCACTTTGCACAATATCCCAACAAAGAAAGAATTTCCCTGCACTGGGAAATACAAGTTTACTATAACATGTGAAGTGCAGTGTGAGTGGGTTGGTAAGATTTAGCATGCTGAAACCAGCCTGGCAATGACAGCTGTGCAGAGTCTGTCCAATCTGTGTCACTCTGGTACAAAACCAGGAAAACCATAGCATGTCAGCTGGCCCTGAAATCATTCCCTTGGTTACAAAAATACAAAACGCATCTGTTATTTATGCAAGTCCACACACAACTGGCAATAGGAAAGGACACCTTTTGCTCTGAACAAGAAGGAAGGTGTATGTATGACAGCATGAAAAATCATATGCAAATCAATGTCCGTCTTTTCATGTCTGCTCATAAATAAAACCAAAGGAGTCCAACATCTTTCAAAGGTTCCTGAGGTTGCAGGCTATTTCAGAAAGGAGAACATGTTTTGCCATCAGTACAGAATTCCATGCCGCTTGAGCTGCCCCAGGGCTGAAGGAGCACATACTCTGGCCTCACCAAGAGTCCTTGGTCATCATCTGTACCTTCAAGGAAGAGCCTCCTGGCAAGGGAAGACCAGTCTGCCCAATCCACTTGGCAGAGAAGGAGCGGCTGCAGGAGCTTGGACCCTCCCACCCGACCAGGAGGAACATTGACTCTACTGTCTGCTGCCTCTGCAGAGAGAAGTGAGAAGCAGCCAGAGCAACAGGGCTGCTGTTTCGGTTGCCGTATTGCTGTCCCCGCAAGTCCCCCAGCAAGGGAAATTCAGCCTAGTCACAACCTGCTTTGTTCTGCCATTAGCAAATGGATCCCTCTCTTCTACTTTTTTCTCCACTCCCTTTTCCTTGTCTATCTTCTCATTTAAAATGCATTTTGGACAGAAAAAGCCTTACTACTCCCAGCTTTTCCCAGCCAGCATGCCTGGGGAATATGGAAACTTGTAGGATTTTTTTCTGTCTAAACGTGCATAGGATCGCACGCTTAGCTGATGAGCCCAAGCTCTGTGCCCCAGTTCTTTCATTGATGTGAGCCACCACTCTATAAAATAGTTTGTCTATTAACACTTACATTCAGAAGCATTAATTTTTGCAGCATTTAGCATATGTCTTACTAAACGCATATGTACTGAGTGGATTGCAGATAATCTAATATATGATGGGTTTCACTGGAAATGTTAGCCTATCATTTTCCTGTTGGTTTTTATGGACCCTTTTGGATTCTTTTGTTTCCTATATCACACTGGTATTTCAGATGCATGAAGTCTGTACCAGTTGTATTATATTTCCAACCAGTATTGATATTATTGGAATAAACCATTGCCATTCACCATGAAATTAGGTACCAATAATGCATAAATTTATAGTCACTTTCTTTTATAGAATGAACATCTGCAGTGTTATCTAGAAAAACAGACTTCCATACAACCCTAATCCAAGAATATAAAATCCATTGAGTTTGTGAATGTATGTACGGCTACATACCTACCTGGTTCTGATGGCAAACTTAAATTTACCTATACACATAGGTCAATATCCAATCTGCCAGAGCAAAAATTTTCCATCACCTCAGTGAAATCCTCATGCCACTACCATCATACTATCAAGTATAACTAAACTGGGCCAAAAAGAAGCCAGATTATCCTGGGTTGCAAATTCAAACAGTGATTAAAAGAGACAGATTTATTTAAGTTAATGCAGACAGGCTCATATACTGGGGACAGATTATTCCCACAACTTAATGTCTTTTCACAAGGTCAACTTTCAGTGCCCTCTACCTGTTCCCAAATATGCAGTGTTTGTTTGTTTGTTTTACAAAAGCACCAGATCTGTAATTCATAGCTACAATATTTGACTTCAGAATGGTGTTTGGCTGCAACTGACAAATTGGCACATTTTTTCACAATATCTGATAGCTTGTATGTCAAACAAAAGCAAGAGATACCAATTAATCTGAAAACCCTTAACTTTCCTTGTTCATTCCTTGTTCAATGCACAGCTTGAATTTTAAAATTCATATTTAAAAAATGAGTGGTGAAAATGGAAATTTTGGCAAATATTCAATGTTTGAAGATTTTTGTCTTGATTAGAATGGACTTATTTGAAAATGTACACTAGGAAACCGAGAGCTAAGTTCGGCTTTGGAATAGTTCAGATACCAGTCTTGCCCTCCCAGAAGTTAATGGAGTGGCCTCTTGCACTTTATAAGTGATATTGTTTAAAAGGTGGGAATTGATTGTGCATCCAAAAACTATCCAAAATATGTCTTTTTATGCTTGCAAAGATAAATGTACATTTAGAACTTTTTACAATATATTATTAAGTTGCAATTCAGGTGTGCCAGTTAAAAATAGGATGAAGTCACTTTATATATATATATATCGGCAATTATTCTGGTGCACTGCCCTTAGCAATAAGTCCATCCCTGATTTGGGCTGCAGGTGAGTAGAAGGATTGTCTGAAGGAGTTTGGAAGGGTTTACCACTGCCAGTCATGCAGTAGAATAGGCAAGCCATTTTTTTTTGACACAACCCCACAGCATCTGTGTTCTGACTGCTGACTGGCTGTAATAAAAACCCTGAAATATGCATTATGCCTTTTCTCCCACCTGCACTTTGGCTGTGTAGGAATACAGTTCATGAAATGCATAGAAAGTTAAATATAACATGACAAAATGAAGGAAAAATATTTGCTGCTATTGTACTGAAAGCAACAATGAAATCCCCGCCCAAACACAGAAAACTCCCAAGATTTTATAAATAAAGATCTTTATTTAGAATACTGTTGAAAACATTCTCAGCATCCACAATGTATAAATATATAAAGTTAAAGTTTGGCACGACAAACCAGGCAACATTAAATATGTAAATGTTTTGTTGTTTCAGTGGAATCTTTTTTATTTTCCTTTTTTCCCTTTTTTTGCAAAGCAACTCTTATTTACAAGTATACAAAATAAGTACTTTTAAATGGTCCACAACCTTTTCTGCGTATTTGTGGATGTCTCTGTGAGAGGGGAATATCCAAAAAATACTGCAACCCTGAACATCCCTACAGCTGCTCAGATCATACTGAAATCAGTGGGTGCTAAACAGCCTGTGTGCAGGTTTGACAAAAGATTTTTCTTTTCTTTTCTTTTTTTTTACAGGATTGGAGAACACATTCCAAGATAAGGTCCTCCCAGTCTGTGGAAAGCAAAGATTAAACATTGGCCATTTCATGGTACACAATTCTAAGCTTCCTTTATATACAAATTAAATAGCTTTTGTTTATAACCAATAAATAAGTGTACTTTGACGTAATACAAGCTTGGAAAAATATATACACATATATATAATTGAAAGGAATTATTAGATACGTATGAAAACTGATAAAAACAAAACAAAACAAAAAACACCCAAAATATTGGGAGGTTTTTTCGGTCTTTGGAAGGCAGAGTTGAGTGATACTTGCTGGCGACCTCAGCACGTTCTCAGTGCTGTAGTTTATAGCACTTGGTAGATGGGGTTGCTGGCACCGTTGCTGGCAGTGTCCTGAGAGAGCTGAGTGCAGCCGGCCGGGGAGGCGATTTGGGCACCAGTGTCACTCAGGCTCGCCCCTTCGTGGAGTGAGCAGGGACTCCCCTCGTTTCCACTGTCCACCGTGGGCAGGGTGGAGCAGGCCGTGCTGTCGGTTGAAATCCTCTCCACGATGCTTGACAAGCAATCTAAGCTGGAAACCACTGAACTCTTTCCTTGCTTTGAATCTAAGGACAAGGAGATCAGTGAGTCTCAGCAGCACGAGCAGTCAGGAAGAAGCTGTTCTTTCATAGGATCTCTCTCTCCCCCCACCCTCTCTCTCTCTCTCTCACACACACACACAGGGCTATCTGAAAGAGCAATCCATGAGGGCTTTCTCACAGATAACTGTCTTCTGCACTGCAGCATTTATCAACCGGTCTCATGAGAAGCAGTCAGTTCCGTGGAAATTAATGCCACATAAACTAGGAGAACCTAGCTAAATAATTTTACAATTTAAAGCCAGATTTAAGAGTTGCCAGTTACTAATTTTGATAATAATTTAAGTTTAATAGTTTAACTGCACATTCTGCCTTCAATACTAAAGGCAGAATGTGTACTTATAGGGAAGATGCAAAGAAGGAAGGAAGGACGGACGGAAGGAAGGACGGAAGGAAGGAGACTACTATGTAATATGTTATGAACCAAATGCAAAATATTTGGTTCAAAAAGCCCACATACAGATAACAACGCGCACAAAGCATGTCAGTGTGGGTATGCATGTTCAGATTCCTTAACTCAGAATAATCTATTCTTTCTTCCAAGGCAGATACTTACCAGCGAGTGTTTCTGTATAGTAATTGTTGTCATAACTGTTCCTTCTACGAGAACTGCAAGGGGGTCCACTGTAATCCAGCTGGAAACAAAAGCCAACAATACAAGACATTAGAGCAGAAACATGATCAGGCCAACCAGGTGTGCACATGTGTACATGAGCAGTTAAATGTGCACACCTGTCGCCTGCACTTTATGCATTGGCTGCAGGAAACACAAATATAACCTTCTGGCTTTTAATTATCAAGGGTTGTTGAGCCCCTTAAAGGTGCTGTTATCCTGAGTTGCTTTAAAGGTGATACATGCCCCATCAAACATTAGCACAATGCCTCACACTTTTCAACAATGGTCCTAAAATATTTCCACATGCTGCTGAAGTCTGTTTGTAATTAGCACGCCTTGTCTTGCTGTTGGCTTTGACAGAAAACTCAGCAACTGCGCAGGTTCCTCTCATGGGGTGGGATCAGTGCTGTCACCCTGATGACAAAACTGCAGCCACTCAACACCCTCAAAATCTGCTCCAGAGCGTGGAAAACCCTCTGGAGCAGGTTTCAGGCAGGAAAGAGGATAGGGAAGAACGTCCTGTCACAGCAGCAGATTTCAGCTATGGCAACATTGCATTTAATATTTGCATCGCAGCTTTCATTATATAATATATACCTGTTCATTTAATGTCTACCTCATGTGCCCTGACAGCATTTCTCTGAGGTAGCTTATTTTACTATTTTTACTGATTACATTTATAACCTGCCTTTTTGTCCCTCCTGCAAGGAATGCAAGGCAGCTTACACCTTACTTCTCCTTCCATCCTCTCTTCACAACAACTTTGTGAAGTAGGTTAGTTTACACCCAGAGGCCAGTTCCAGCCAAGTGGGGACTGGAGCCCAGGTCATATTCTGAGTCCAGTCCAACACTAACCACTGTGCCAGAATGCCTCTCACCAGTTATGTGGGGATCTGGCAACATGCTTTCATCTACCCAATGGGCTGAACCGACTAAGCCATGCTCATAGCCAGCACTCTGGTCACGTTAGCATATTTGCATTAAAAAGAGCAAGAATGTTATTATCGTACTCCAAGCATTCATCCAGATATAGAATACAATGAAACTAGAGTTGTGTCCCATTGTGTCCAAGCCTCTATCCGAGCCCCCATCCTTATTGCAGGATATCTATGTTGCCATGTCTGCCTCTTGTGCAAGTGGACACCACCTATCCTTGGCTTTCTCCCCCCAACAAAGATATGCTTTGGCATGAGGCTCCACCACAACACACAGTATGCAAACCAAGAGAGGGTCCTCATAGTTTTGATTGTCACTGCAAGATACAGCTCCAACTAAGTGTCTACTCAGAAGTGAAACCAGTGAGTTTGATTAGGCTCACTTGCCTAAAGCTGCAACCCTACAGTGTACACTTGCTTACCTGGGACTAAGTCCCATTGAATTCAACAGAGTTTATTTCTGGGTCGAACTGTAAAGAAGTATGTTCCCCCTCACACTGGTTTTGAACTAACATAGTCTAAGGTCATCTCTGCTGGGTATACAAAAATACAGATGCACCTCACTTTGGGAGGGAGGAGCAACAGAGTGTAGTAAGTGCCATCTTTACTTCGTTGTAAATATATTGCTGTGCAGGAAAGGGATATAAAGATTCAGAAAGGCAAAGGTCAGAAAGTCCAGCTCAATTCACTGGAATTTGTGTACTTGCTTTCTCAGTAATTATACAGGAACCATTTTTATATGGAAAAAAAAGATCTTTCCAAGCATAAGGAAACCACAGGAGGACTACGACTGCAGTGGGCCAAAGGGCTATCATGTCTTCTTCCAGGAATCAAGTTTTTACAAAGGCACTTCACCTTGAGAGGACAGAGGGAGCGGCAGAAGGACACTCATGTTATTCTGTAGCAGCGAAATCACAGAGTGAGACATAGCTTGGATGTTTAAGCTTTGGCCAGTTTTAGTGCACGGATGCTGCCATTCCAGTGTGTTATTCTTAATATTTGAGATTGTATTTGTCTGATTCTGTACAGTGTATGCAGATGGGTGAGTTTATGCTAGGTGGTAGCTCATAAACAGAAATACATGTGGCCTGATGCTATGCTTGCTTACTCAGAATTAAATCTCACTGAATGCAGTAGATCTTATTCCTAAATAAGTGCACACCTGAATGAGTCCAATTTTAGCTGTGGTAGGAAATTGCTTCTATTCCATTGTTCATCCAGAACCATCTACTCTACTAGTAGGTGAACAGTGCAATGCTCCCTTTTTCCACTGAGGGAGTAGTAGGGTATTCCTATCTCCCCCTCATACCCAGCCACATCCCCAAGTGTATCAAAAGGCCTCCTCTTTCCTAGGGCCCTGAGTCCCAAAGAGAACTCCCAATGACCGAGTTTCAGGTGCCTTTTCCTCCTCGCATCTGAACAAAATTTTGCAGCTAAAGTCAGAGCTAAGGCAACAGAAAGCAGGCTTCTCCTTGGTACAAGGATAAAAAGAGAGTCATCCTCTCTCTGGGGAATCAGACTCTAGAAAACATACCTTCCCTTCACCACTAGTACTAAAAACAGCAGTGACCAGCAGCACTGCATGATTGCTCATAAGGAAAAAAGCCCTGGTGTTTTCCATGGTGCTTCCTCCCAGCAAAACACACATGGGGTTGCAGCCTGAGATTTCTTGAAAAAAGCTGAGCCCAGTTTGTAGGCTGCTAGCAATGAGGCCCTCTGACCAAGATGCCCTGGAAGTCCCCATTCCTACTGAGGGATGTGATTACTCAGAAGTGATGGAAGCACAGTCATCCCAGGGCTATACCTTATGACATAATATGCCAGCTGTCTCAGCCCTTCTAACACTGGGAATGGATTCTGGGGGTCTGTTGCACTGAAGGCCAAAGACAGGAGAGGCTTCCCACTTTTCTTCCATAGACCCAGGCATTCAGGGAAACCCCATCCTAGGTTCCAGAACTGCCATCTTCTTTCAGGCAGGCCTCCTGCAGAACCTTTGGTGGCTACTCGACCATTCAAGAGATGTGCGTATTCCCACCACATCCCAGGGGACAGCGGCCTGTCGCCTGTCTGCCACTCGTACCGCTGCTAAAGGCGCAGGCCACCCTACCCAGCGTTCCTGGCACAGGCTCCAAGCGCACGGGGTTGAGGACCCCCTGCGACGCGACGCAAGGCGAGCGCTCCGCTGCTGCGCTTGCGCGGGCCCTCAGACTCACCATGCCGTCGGAGCAGTTGGAGCGGGGGCTGGAGGCGTCGGAGTCGCCGCTGTAGTGCTCCAGCACCGGGTAGTAGGCGTCCTCCTGCTCGCGCAGCAGCGCCTGGAGGCTCTCGATGTAGCGGATGGCGTTGCGCAGGATTTCCACTTTGGGCAGGCGCTGGTTCGGGTTGGTGGAGGTGCAGCGCTTGAGCGTCTCGAAGGCCTCGTTGACCTTGCTGAGCCGCCGCCGCTCGCGCATGGTGGCCGCCTTGCGGCGGTCGGCGTTGGTGGTCTTCCGCTTGCAGGCCTTGCAGGCCCACAGCAGGCAGCGGCCGGCCTGGTGGTGCCCGCTGGGCGCGCGAATGTGCTCGTCCTCGTGGTTGTGGTGGTGGCGGCCGTGCTCGTCCGCCTTGAGCAGGCCGCCCACGTGCACCAGCCGCGGGTCCAGGTCCTCGAAGAAGTGCATGTCCGACGTGTTGAAGCAGGGGTCGTCGTAGAAGTCGTCGGCGGCCGAGAAGGAGCAGAGCGAGCCGTCGGCGATCTCCATGTGGCCTAACACGTCCATGGGGCGCGGGCGGGGCGCGCGGCGCGGGGCGCGCGGCAGAAATGGATCGGGCGAGAGAGCGAGCGCTCGGCTTGCGCTTCCCACCGCCGCGATCGGCGCGGGGCTCGTGGGCGGACGGGCAGCGGGGGCTCCAGCCGCAGTCGCCTTGGCACCTCGGAAGCCGGCGGTCTCGATCCCCAGCCAAGCCAAATGCCCGCGACCCTCTGTCCGGACAGAGCGAGCGAGGCAGAAACGAGGATCACGAAGCAGGGGCGCTTCTGCCGACGGCGGACGGGGGCTTCACGCACTTGGGCTGGCTCTTTGTCCCCCTCTCCCCTGTGCCCGGCTCAGCCTGCCATGGAAGAGCCGGCGCGCCCTGCCCGGATGCCATCCCGAGAGTTCGCGCCGCGGCTCTTATTTATCCCAGAAGGGGAGGTGGGCATTCCTCCACGGCCACCTCTTCGCCACCTGCCGGCCTATCCCCTCGGCCTCGCAGAACCAGTCGCCGGGGGGCTCGAAAGCGGCGGGAGGGGAGGGGAGGGGAGGGGAGGAGGAAAGCGCCCTCTGGATTGGACGGCCGCCGAAGACCCGTCCGGCAAAAGTTGGAGACGCGCTCGCACAAATGTCAAAGCTCAAACGGGGAATCCGCGCCGCGCGGGCGTGAGGGCGGCCGGGGAGGGGGATGCGCCGGGGGGGATTTTGCTCGGGTTCGCGCCTTTTCCGCGCGGGCGTTCAAGTCCCCCCGTTGCCTTGAAGGCATCGCACCCTCGCCTGCGTTCGTTTTCGAAGTGCTCCTCTTAGGCTTTGTCCGGCTGCTTGAATACTTAGAGGGAGGATAAACGCAGATCTGTAAGAAGATATAGGTCATCTCCCCACAAGTAATCAGCTAACTGTCCTTTCGAGAAATTTCATGGTGTGAATTACAAGCATGCCGCGAAGAGGGGGGAAAATCGAGTCACTAAAGGAGAGCAAGTAATGATGTTTTTTGGCATCAGTAAAAGCACGTGTGGTTGAGCACTTTATGAAGCTTTTTTCAGGGAATATTTTATCCTTTTCTAAATGTATAAGTGGCACCACCTCTTATCTTCTGGAAGGACCTTCCCATCGAAATAATTGAGTTTGTGGAATTACTTAGTTCTGCTTCGCTTTCGTTCTTAAAATATTAAACCATTCTTTTTAAAAAAAAGATTAGTTCTACTTTATCTTATCGGAACACATGGATCTGTGTATGCCCTCAAATATATAGGTCGTAATAATGGGAGGAAAACTCTCAAGCCCGTTACCCGGTTCCCATCCAGATTTATATTCTGCGTTGTGCTTCGGTATATTCGCCCGAAAAAACCCCGTAGGAGAAGAGCACTGAAAGGAAGTAACGATTTAGGGGACAGGTGTCTTTTCTCTCTCGCGCTCTTGAATAAACACGAGCTGGCCGCTCTCGAACGCTTTTAATTATCGGACAAAGCGAGGCAAGCGCTGAAGTCGCATCGACGGGACTCCATAGCGCGCCTCCCCTTAAACTGGATTGTGCCTAATATCGTCACGTTCGCCGTCCTACTCGTCGTCATTATTACCAGTGTGCCCCTGGGTTTGATCTGGTGTGAATGACTTGAGGGGGGCTTGGCTCAGCTGAGCAGTCCCTCCTGCTCCCCTCCGGACTCGAGTCGCTCTTACAAGAGAGATGAAAGCGGTGTGGTTCTAACCCTCTCCGGTTAATGACTTTACCGCATGGGGGGATCGTTTACTCTGCAGCCGTCTGAAGGGAGCGTGCAGGGGGTTAAAAGCGGTGTGTGTGTGTGTGAGAGAGAAAGAGATGGCCGCGATGGCAATCTTTCCCAGATAATTGCTAATAGAGTTGCAGGAAATCGTCTTGCTCCTCTCTACGCCAAGTTTTCCGTCTGTCTGTCTTTACCAGAATAGAGAGCACCCTTACTGCCTTCCTTCCAGGGCTGACCCCATGCCAGCTAGGCATGTTGGGAATTGCAGTGCAACTCATCTGGAGGGTACCAGATTGGCGAAGGCTGGCTTAGGCTACAGTTGTTAAAGGAAACTTCGCCCACGCCAGAAGTGAGCAGGGCACAAGCTGCGCCGCGTTAAGCAGGTCTGAGCGGTAAAAAGCCAGAACTTTAGTTCTGGTTATAGTTCAAGAAACGTACGTTCCAAGTATTTCGATTCAACGGAATTGTGGATCGCAGCTATCGAGCCTTGAAGGCGGCGGGCTGCATTAAAAACAAAATCTGGCTTGAGCCCGCGCGGGGGTCCCGTTTGTGCCTGGCTCTAAACCGGAGGGAGCGCGCGGGCGTGACTGTGCAGCCCATCCGCAAACGCGCATCGAGGGCGCATCTCCTGGTGCGAAGGGCTCCGCTCGCGAGCTCGGCGGGGGCGCGGGAGGAGGAAGCGAGTCCGCATTAAATGCCAAAAAGTAGCGTGCGGAGCCCGATTGCCTTTTGGGAGCGCTACGAGTTCTCTGTAGGAACTTCCTTTCAGATCACGAGTCAGCCGTCCCGACGACACTTTTCTGCTGGCGGGAAAACCGGGCGGGAGGAAGCTGCTGTGCTTACTGCGGGATGGGTGGTGGGCATCTCGCAGAGCAAGGACTCCTTCGCCTCCGTCTCTCAGGGTGCTCCGCGTGGAAGCTGTGGACCTGCAGGTATTGTTGCCCAGTCCCATCAGTCCGAGTCAGCGTGGCCAGCGGGCAGGGATGATGGACGTTTCAGTCCAATAATATCTGAGGGATTCGCGGATCCCCGACAATGCTCCGGGTAGGGCGGTTGTTGGTGTTTGTAAACCTTCACTCGCAATGTTCTTACAAGCCTGCGGGTTATCTGCCTTCGCTTATCTGGGAGTAAATTCAGTGAGATTTATCTCTGAGTAAGATAAGATCGCGCTGTTAGGCTGCGATCCGAAGCAAAGTGGAGCTATATCCTAATGCGCCCAGGACCGGGGAGAAAAAGACGCATCTTGGAAGGGTGGTGACCCAAGGAAGCAGGGAGCGCCACGGTGATTTTTCCCGATTTTATCAAGGGAAGGCGCCTTAGATACGACCTTCCCCTTGGCCACGGGCGACGGCACTGAATGGGAGTAGCAGGCGGACGTGGGGGGGGGGGGGTCACGGGAAAGCATGTGTTATTCCCCTCCCCCCGAGGATCCAGAGGGCAAATAAGGGTCCTCCAGGAACCCTTTGGGGTCGTTCCCTAAACATTTCCCATCCAATTTCATTGCTGCATTTATATCTCTCCCATTCCCCAACACTCACTTCAGCTTATAAATAGGTTATTTATAAAGCCAGGCCGCAGCTTCTGACTGCTGAGTGAGAATTCGGGACTGCCGCTTTCCAGGACCGTGGGGGTGGGCTGGCTCGGGAAGGCAGGGTCGGAGCTTAGATCCTGGAGGAGAGGATGGAGGAGGAGGAGGAGGAGGAGGAGGAGGGCAGGGGAGAGTCTCTCCAAAAGCATACCAACTTTTCTAGAAATACGGGTATGGCAAAGGGAGTTGTGCCATCTAATGAAGGCTCACTCGGAAATGAGCCCCGTTGTATTTCGTTGGCTTTATTCATTCCTGGGCAAGTTGGCACTAGATCGCCATCTAAGGGGTTCTGTATATTATTCAGCAAGACTGCCATGAGAGACACGTGCTCCATCGGCCCATTCAGATCCCTCCCGGCCAGGAGCCAAAGCTGTTGGAATTTGGGAGGTGGCACTCACTTCTGCTCATGTACTGTAGCCCTTAAATCAGGGTGGCCAACTTGTGGCTCTCCAGGGGTTATGGCCTATGGTTCGGCACTTACCATTCACTACACTGACTAGAGCTGATGAGAACTGCAGGCTAAAACATCCGAAGGGCCACAATTTCCCCATCCCTATTTTAGATACTGAAGTGCATCAAAGAGAACTTTGGCGAACTCCCAGGAATCTATAAGCAGCTATAGACCTTTATTTTTCAGTGAATCAGGGTGGAATAGGCAACTTGTGTCCAGATGTTTTGGCCTATAATGCCTATAATTCCTCCCCAGTGGCTATACTGGCTAGGGCTGGTGGGAATGGTAAGCCAAAATATCTTTAGGGCCACACGTTGGCCACCCTGACCATGTTAAATATTAATTTATTTAAAATATTTGTATGTCGCCACGGCACCTCTGGGCAGCTCACAACACAAGAAAAAAACAGGTTACCCACCATTGCAGGAAATAGTATTTTTTTCCTCCTGGCTATATTGTGTAATGTTCCAGTATATATATGTATGTGTCTAATCCCACCCACACAATAGTTTCTGTATATAATTAATAGTTTAAAGTCACTATTTTGCTTCATTATCACAATGGCAGGGAGGGAGGAACCCACCAAGTGTTTGTGATATTTTAAAAGTATGCACTAAACATAAACTCAAATGGAAACCATTTTTTGACCTCTGTGCAAAGGGAAAATGTTAAATAATCTATAACTTGCCAAGTTGGCATCAACATACCAGAAGTTTCAACTGGATTCATTTTAATACATTACAAAGCTTGATAATAATTTCGCCTTCCAGAGCTTCAAGATGTGTTATACTTATAGTCCACTAGGTGGTGCTCGCTCACTCTTTCTAAATCCATGCAGCAGCAGGAGGAAACAGGTGAAATGACAATTTGCTTTATTTTATTTTGCTTTATTCACTAAGATTTTCTTTTTTCTCCAGTCCTACTTTTAGTATTATTTGGAATAATTTTGTATGTCATGATAGTACTATCTGGCCCTCATGATAGTACTACCCTCATGCCAGCCAAGACAATATTCTTCAACAAACGCCAGAAAAATCTTTCTGGATCAGATCAAAAGCTTGTCAATTCCATAGTTGTACTTCCTTCCATCTGCCCTGAAACTCAGCTTCATCAGATGGTCTGGGGAGGAGGGAACAAACTTTTCTGTATCCTCTTTCTGCATACCCCAAGTAATCAAAGTTAATACAATGTTGCATGTTAATTACCATCTGTCTATGGAAACTGAATGCTGGAGCCACATATGCTATCCCATAAAGAACAGTTCTCCTATCTTGTTCATTGCACTATTCTGTTAAATTGACACATTTGTGTCAGTGGCATATATCCCTTTTCATTGAGTGGGAGGTGCCCAACCAGCTTCAGGTGCTTTTGTGTGAAACTGATTATTTGGATTCATTTCAATCAAGGTGCAGGCTGGGCTTTGGCTTGGAAACAGCTTTGATTGCTCTGCATTGTGACCAGTGTCAGGCAACAGACAGGGCAGTATGACCTTATTGATACTCTTGGATCTCCTGGTGGCTTTCCATACCATTGCTCACAGAATCCTTCTGAGGTGATTGTCTGGGCAGGTGAAGGTGGTACTGCATTGCCATGTTTCCACTCCTATTTGGGTGGGTAACTCCAGAAGGTGTTGCTTGCAGAATACTGCATGACCCTGTGGTTTCTCAAGCATGAGGTTCCTCAGAGCTTGGTTTTTGTTTCCCATGTTTTTGATGTCTACATAAAACTACTGGTTGGAGTCATCTTAAGTTTTGGAAGATGATGATGATGTGCAGCTCTGCCTTTTATCTCTATCAGGCAAAGCTGCAGATGTGCTAAATCAGTGCCCACCTGTGACAATGGACTAGGGAAGGACTAGCCAACTGGAGCTTAACCCAGACATGAGTGAAATGCTGTTAGTGGATGGTGGTTCTTACTAGATGGTGTTCAAACTGTTCTGAGTAGGGTTGCACTCTGCTTGACAGAGCAGGTTTATTACCTGGAGGTCCAACTAACCTGGTTTCAGTAATCTATGTGCTGATAAACTCTAATTGAGATTATTGCAGCACTGTCCCTGAAGACTGTTCAAAGCTGCAGATTGTAAGACTAGAAGTTCAGAATGTATAACATAATTCTGGCTCATTTGCATCAGATGCTTTAAACTACTGAGTACAATCCAAAGTGCTGGTTTTAACCTATAAAGTCTTACAGAGCTTGGCACAACAAAATCTGATGAAGTACTTCTCCCAATCTGAGCCGACCTGAAGCTTTCCTTTCTGAGGTTTCCCCTAGAGTGCCATCTCCAAGAGAGACCGAGAGTGCTGCAGCAAGAGACAACACCTTGACCACAACGGTGCCCTATTTATGGAATGATCTCCCCACTGAAGCTACCTGGCACCAGTTCTGTAGTTGCTCTGGTGCCGTGTTTGTTCTCCTTTCCCAGGCATGGCTCATAAGAGAGTTTGGTGGCATTGTGGGTGTCTTGCCAGAAGCCAAGTGGTTCTTTTATGTGGATCCAAAAGCAGTAAGTACAGCAGAGTAAGAAGATTAAAGAGTTTATTCACAAATCTGAATAACTTGCATTATACTATTTACTCTAAGCAGGGAAAAAGGATATAGCATAATATACAATACTGTGGTGCAAAGCTGCCCTGTTCTCTTTCCTGTCATTGGGATCCTGGAGGAGCAGCAACAGAGAGACTCCAAAAGACAGCCAGCACACGGCATCTTTGTGGATCAGGTCAATGTCCAGGTTCATCATCTATGACACTCTTAGGACTTACATACCTGCAACCTCTGAAGGCCAAGACGATCTCATAATTAAACGTGCCTGTTTTCAAAGGCCATCCTGCCAACCTGAGTGCAGATATACTGTCTTGTCTCTCCTTCAGGAAGGTGAATGGACATTGGCCAGCTTCATGCCCCATTCATACTGGTATGAACTGTTCCTAAGTTTGGCTATCGGAAGGTATAGAAACGAAATCAATAGCACTAATGCTATGAATAAATACTATGCATGGTTTATTCACTCTAAAATAAACCTAGATCTTTTTGTTTATATTATGCTTGTGTCTCTTCTCTTGTTCCATGATCTATGCTTGAGTGCCATCTTGATTATTTAGTAATTATAACCCAAATTATAACCCAAATAATTATAACCCAAGTAATTATAACCCAAATTCCGTGCTGCAGAATAGGGATGACTACTTAGGATGTCACATCAATATAATCTCTCCCCAGTTACTGTGGAGCTCATGTTCCACTCCCTGACTGGAATTGTCTTGAATGTAAGGAGCAGCACACTATCACTGATAATCTTGAAAAGAGTCCTGGCTAGGCAGGACCACCTCCAACACTAAATGAGAAGGTATATCAAAGGCCACTCTGCTAACACCTCAGTATCTGGGCCATCTTTCCATCTGCGTGCCACCGGTGCGTTCCTCTTGGAAGAGCCCTTTCTGACTTGGCTGACAATAAGAGGACATGCCAGAGAAGTCTGAGGAACAGCAATCTCCTAGTTGATTTCTCCAGGAAAAATCTATTCCTATTCTGAAGAAAGTGGCCACCCTGCTGTCCTGCGTATTATTGTATGTATTACAACTTCTAACCAGCCTGGCTGATGCACATTATGGAGGGCATCAGATGGGAGACTGTTGATTTATAACAAAATAATTATTATAATGTTTATGAAAATGGAACATTAATGTCCCATAATGAATCTTCCAAACTCTGCCATGATAAATATGTTAGAAACAAACTGAGCCATGCCACAAATTAAATATTCATCAAAGTTTGTGGTAATTTAAAGTGGGCGTGAACTATGATTAAGTACTTTTAGAATGGAACTCTACAAAAACTTACTCTGAATCCTGTGGATTTTGTTGAATTTTAAGGATCACGGTCTTGCTTTTCTTTCAGTTGGATACAGAGATATATTACAACCCTCCACAAAATTGGTGGCGTGGACAGTATCCCCTTCCCCGTGGTGGATGCATAGGAATGGATCCAGTACAGGCATTCACTTTTGTGGAAGGAAGTAAAGGCATGCCCTCAAGGACAGTGCGAAGCAGGTGCTAAAGCAGCTCCCTTGCCCCTGGGTGAAGGGAAACAGACCTGGTTAAGCATTCAGTCTGCGCAGGGAGTGTTTCATTCAGGGGATGCCAGATTTCAGGCTTGGGGGATCTACCCCGTGCCTTACTAAAATGCTGAGATCCACCAACTGAAGTCAGATGCAAAAGATGTACAGTTAGAATAAAATAACATGGTGCCTCTAAGCAGCTGCTAAGCACCGGAATTTGTTTTTAAGTTTCATAAGTCCTTCTATATACAAATTCATTCATGGTTACCCCATTCCATTAGCCTGTCTTGATTGTGTGTGGGGAGTCATTATGTTATTCCAAATATATAATACTGGCAGGTCAAAAATCCTTGCTGATCTACAGCAAAACACTGACAGATCTAATGGCATTCCCGATTTAACTTCTAACCACCCTTGGCTTATTTTATGAAAGGTTAATCCCTATATATGCTTTCTCCACTCCAGCAGAACACCTCAGTGATCACAGCCACTCATTAAAAAGCACAGATGAAAACTTTATTTCAGTTTTTTTAAAAGGTACATGTGTCATCGCTGGTATAGCAAACATATTGAATAAGCAGCTCAAAATCCTAGTAAGGCCACTTTACAAAGTACCAAGGTAAAAATGTTTTGTTGTGCTTATATAATGTTAGTAGCTATATAAACTTTTTCTATCAGTAAAACAGAATTCTATTTAGCTGATAAAATATTGGAACAATCATTATAAGACTATAATTTTCTTGAAATTTCAAATGAATACTTTATAAAAAATATTTTTACTTTAAAAAACTAGAAAAAACTAGTATCATTGCAAATGCCCTAATTCAGGTTGATCTAATGCTTCTCCATACTAAAAATGTACATTTATTAGTTGGACCCAGTGCAGCCCTTTTGTGAATGCAGAGATTCCTTCCATTCATGGAAGCTGTGATCTTCCACTCATAGAAAGGGTGAAGAAAAGTGAGTGCTGCTAATTCCACCTCCTGCTTCCTTTCCCTTCTCAATTCTGTTGAGCAGATTTAGGATGCAGAAGGAGCTGTGCAGAAAATGGCAAAAATAATCTCTCTTACCTCATTCTGTGGGTGGGAGCTTAACATGAGCAGAACTTCAGTCATGGACGTTTCATCTCAAGACTGTGCTGTCTTTGGGTTAGTTATTAGCATAAGCTAAAGAAAACTAGAAATTTAATTGTAGCAATTTTCTTACTTTGAAACCTCACCAGCTGACTTCTAGTAAATCCAGCCTCTAATGCCATATATGCAACTAAAAGTTTTTCTGCTGTATTCACTATTATGCAACACACACACAGTGTTAACTGTAGGCAGTGCAGCAGAACAAAGTGGAACTAACAAACTGGTCTACCCATTCTTTTATTCCACACAGTGCAAGGGTATGATTTTGTGAGTACAACACATGCCAATTCTGTAAAAGGTGTCAAACAGCTTTCAGACAAAGTGCAACTAACAAAAGAATGAACAGTGGCTAAATTGTGATTTTCCAGTCACCAGTTTGTGGGATTCTGCTTTCACATAGCCACTATAAAGCCTTACACTAGATGGGACCACACCTGTTGGAACACCTCTCCCACCTCTCCCAACTGCAATCTATTCAGACACTACATTCAACCTCTGGGCCACCTCCAAGGTAGGCCACAACGTGGAGGGCTGTCTCTGTGGTGGCTCCCCTATCTATGGAACAACCTTCCCACTGCTGCCCGCCTGGCACCAAATTTGTCACCTCTTAGGTTGGGATGGCCCATTAAGCTGAAGCTTTTAAGATGTACTCAGCTACCCAGGGGCTTGAAGGAATTACCTATCCCAGGTGAATTTTCTTCTTTTACAAGTGAATTTTAATATCTGTTTTAGCTATTTTAATGTATTTTAATACCTCTTTTAATGATATTTGTATTTCATTGTTTTGCTTTTATGCACTGTTGTACACTGCCCAGAAAGCTTCAGCTATGTGGAGGTGCAGAAATGAAATCCTTGAAACAAATGAAATGAAATGTCTACCCACAAACATCTGTGCTGGGCCAATTTGGCAATATAAGAATATTGTATAGCTGCTCAGCAGGAGAGTGCTTCATGATCCAAGTCAATCTAATACCATTTGTGTTCCTGCCTTCGATCTGCTTCCCGTAAACCTTTCCACCGGGGCTGAGAGGGGAAGCAATGTAGGCCTGGGCATTTTGGCTTTACGTTATTGTTGTGCTGTGGGAATATCTCTTGCACTAGTTGCAGCTTCTCCACAGCTGCTCGGCCTTTCCGAAGAGGTACACAGAGACTGCGGTGACCTTCTGAATCAGGACTAAGCTTTAGCTCTTCTTGCAAACGGTCTATAAGATAGTTCTCAAGGTTGCTTTTGCCATCCTGGGCACTCCGTAGCCTGTGAGTGTTGGTAATCAGATCTCCCATCAGCTTGATCCTTTCGATCTTGGGTGCAAGAAATTGCTTCTTAATTGTGCTTGCAGTGTGAGGGTCTGAGTTCTTGATGCTCAGAGCATAAAGCTCTTCAAAATAGCTTGCCAGCGTCTTCCACTGTACAAGGGCAACTTCCAGGGCTGTTGCTACACCATTTATTGACACATTGGGTGGTTTCTGGAATCACAAAGAGTAGAACAAAGATGGCAAAAATTAAAAGTTTTCATCGTTTTGATTATATTTTCAACTGCTTGTATTGTAACCAGTCTTTTAGGCACAGTCCTACAAAGCTTATGTGGTGGGTCTGGATTTGGGCAGTCCACATTCATATCCCTGCTTAACTATGGAACTCAACACTAGTGGCAGTGGGAAGCCATTCTCTGTCAGCCTACTACATCCCACCATTTACTTCTGCATGGCCTGAAGTGCCTGACTCTGCCGAATGCTGGAAGCTAAGCAGCATTCTTAGCTAAGCAAGCTAAGCCTGGTTGAAATCTGGATGGGTGACTCAAAATGTTGTGAACCACCCAGAGAGCTCTGGTTACAGGCAGCATAGGAATTATTATTAATTTAATAATAATGCACTATAGTGAGACTTGTGAGGAAAACAAATCCATGCACACAAGGTTACTAACTACGCTTATAGCAGCTTTTATGTCATAAGTGATCCAAGTTTCTGCCAAACTGGTATAGATGAGACTATCTTATGTGCATTAACAGACGAATGGCATTTTGATCTGGGTCATGACAGCTGATACTGTTATAAAGCTGAATAATATTATATGGGTGCAGCACAGAAGCACATGAATCTCTAAGTGGGAAAATCTTATTTATTCTTTCTTGAGTTTCTTAGAGAAAGTGTTTGATACAGGTACAGGACATTAACCTTCTCACAGTAGTTAAAATTAATCAACTATCAAACAATGTTTTGCCAGATTTTAAGAGGAGACAGATTTTGCTGACTGCCTCAGGATAAGGGAAGAGCATAAGATTAGTTGCCTTCAAACCAAAGAGCATAACGTCAGTACATTATGCATTAAAGTAAGTCTTATACAGAATTGCTAAGAATGGCCTGGTGCCAGCCTTTTTATATTGGTTAATGTATGCACATATGCTTCTAACACTGGGGTTATGCAGTTGGGTGATGGAGATTCCACTGACAGGAAAAACAAGCACTGATGAAAATACTAAAGTTTGACGCATTAATTTTATTGCCAGAGCATGATACTCCAGATATTTGGCAGAAACATTGACAGAAGAAAAGTGAATGACTTCTCTCTTTTTTAGGTTAAGGTTAAAAAAAAGTCATGAGGTATATGCACAAGTTCCCCTTTGGTTATTAGACCAAACCTGCAGTTCACTTGGGTTTTATTTCTCAGCATTCCTGCATGATATCTGAGGCTGACTTGGGAACAGGAACTTAAACACAACTGGATAGTACAAGCATACTGAAAAAGCTTATAAAAAGATCTGCATTCAAGTACCCAGACAGCAGGACATAAGCCAAGACTGCCGTCATTGTGATGTTTTCTAGAGCAGCAGTTCCCAAACTTTTTTGTTCATGAAACCTTTCCGAAGATGTTTTTCTCCCATGGAACCCTAACCCTATCCCTGATTTTTAAGGGATTTAATTTTTAAGCATTGTGAATCCACAAGATTCTTCCTTCTTTCATCTGCTCCTATTGCCTGGGTGCTTTGCATAATGTAGTAGGCATGGAAATAAAGAGAAAACATTTTAGATATAACAAATGAATAAAGCAATTATATGGTAATATTCCAAATGAATTCCTTCAATTATTCCCAATATTATGCAATAGGGTCCTAGGAACCAAATGATGTGATGCATTTCCTTGTTTGCAGCTTGGGGACCAACTAACAATTGAATAATTGGCCTCATGTGGTTTCATTTTAAAATGTTTTAAATTTGATTTTTGAGATTCTCCACAGATCCCCTTGAGGCGTTTGCAGAACCCCAGGGTTCTGTGGAACATAGTTTGGGAACTGCTGTTCTAGAACACATTCCTCTGAATTCAGAGGGACTTGAGGACACATGAACCATACTCTGATACATATTGTAATAACAAATATTTTGATACAGCAAAGAACAGAAAAGAATTTAGGTATGAAAGGGAATGGCATGGGTCAGGTAAAATGAATGAAGTCCATAGTCTGACACAAGAAAGTGTTTTTGCTACGTACCTGGATAACTCTGGTACAGTAAATGCCACCTCTGTCATGCTGGTATTGAATCAGAGCTTCTGCTGCTTCTCTTTCCTCCTTAGACCGATCCAAGAAGAATTTTGAGACATTTGGTAAAGCAGTATCGAACTGATCAAAGATTTCACCCTACAATTTGTAAATAAACAACAAAATAGCTACTGTAGTTCATGTATAAAGTGACTTATTGACTTAGCTTTACATTCCAAAAAGAGCACAAGAGGGAACATTTCAGGAACACCAGAAGAATTTAGATTTAAGAATAAAACTCATTGAAACAGTTCTTCACCAACTTAAGGAACTTTTGCTTTTCCAAAATACTGCCATAGATTAACATACTCTGTCAAGTAAATTACCTTGGCTTCTCTTGCGGGGATAACGACAAGAAGTTTTCCCAGAAAATACTACTGCTCATTCCTATTTAGTTAACAAATGCAAAATCTTCTCAGAAAAAATGAAGTTTTGGAAACTGAAATTTTGCAGAAAAATGTAGCAGCTGGAATTTTTCAGCCTTACATCATCGACCCCACAAGAACTGGCTGATGTGAAGGTATATTAAAGCATGCATCCAGCCAGTTCAACAGGGCCCAATTGAGCCTCTTGATGTGAAAATTAATATTGGCAACTTGCACGCAAAACTGCTTCTGCATGCTGATCTTTGTTGTCAAATCAGGATGCTACGTATTTCTACAATGAATATTTGTGAAGGTAAAGAATGCCAGAGACTGTAACATTAGACACAGCCTGTGCTGTACAGACTTTAAAGCTGTGCTGCCTAAGGAGCAGTAGTTAAGAGAATGGGAAGTCAAGGACATCGTGACCATTCCTGGGTTGCTAGATTGTGGAAACTATGTGGGAAAGATGGGATCACATAGCAAAAAACATATTAACACTCCCTCTCATTCCACTCTCTGGATCTGGCCTTTGGTGCTATCAAGGTTCTGAGCTTCCAAAAGCAGTTGGCTGTTCCCACATTGCTTCTGGATTCCTACAGGATTAAAAACACTGCCGCTTGGAACTGATAGAAAAAGCGTGTCATTTCTACAATGTAAGACTTGGCCTTGGATTGCTGCTACTCTTCACATCCTTATCTCCCCTTCTTAAGCCTTCTAGACTCTTGAGCTATGATTCATTCAATCAATCAATATGCTGCCCCACTAGCCATAGGTTCTCTGGGCAGCTTACATCCCTTACAGCTACCCATCCCTTAAAGGTCTGCAGCTTGGTCTGCTACCTGGACCGTAGCATCTTTGCTGCCAGCATCTATTTGGCAATATTATTTTGTCAAAAATAAGGTCTTTAGGCAAATGGGTGGAACCTTCAATTCAGGGACCACATGGGGCTTTGTTGGGGTCCCAATCCAGCCCTCTGAGTTGTCCAGGTGACTATGCCTCCTCCTCTCTTCAATTACCACTTGTCCACTGGTTTCCTGGCTTTTGTGCAGTTTTCCCTTGCATTCTAAAAGGGTGCAGTGCCTCTTGTAAGTAAGTGTAGTAAGAGCTAAAGAATGTTGTGATTTGTATGCATTTTGGCCCTCCCCCCTCTGCATTCGGCCCCTCCTCCCACTGCAATGCAGCCCCTTGCGAGATTCTCCAAAACTGAGCTTGGTCCTCAGGCTAAAAGTGACTTCTCACCTCTGCTCTCGGCCCTTTTAAAATCCCACACAGCACCCCGCTGCACACTACACGTGCCCTTAACATTCTTCAGAGAAGCTGCCCTGCTTATCAACATTGTATGATGAGTCCTTTGTACACAACAGTGTCACAACAGTTCTTCAGCCAATAGCTATGTGGGATTGCAGAAGCACAACAGGTGATGTGCAGATAGCTTATTACTTACATGGGATAAGAGCACTCACTGAAGTCTGAGCAATGTTTAAACATGAAGTATTAACAATATACCAGAAACAGATTCACAGCACATTCTGCACCTGCAGAGAGCATGGCACTTACGGCTCGCATTAATCTCTTTCCTCATTGTTTTTGGTAACAAAATATGTTTTCATATTCTGAGAATATTGTCATCTTAAATTGTGATCCTTATATTTAACCAGGGCAGTGTTGTCAACAGCTTCCCCTTTTCTGCTTTTAGAAGGAATGCAGTGACAGCTGAAAGATGTGGTCAGAGCCTCCCACTACTCTGCTCTGAGTCAGTTTTTCTTCCCTCATTACTTGCATCGGCTTTGCTTGCTGCTTTCTCTTCACGCAGAACTTAGCCTCAACAACCCTTTCACCACCTAACTGACCCTTCATGAAAGCTTCGCCGGTCCCCCCTCCCATGCTCCCCTCTCAATCCCTGCTGCTCACTACAACCAGAGGAAGCATGTGTTGGCCATAAGGCGGAAACATTCAAAATCTGTATTAGTGTAATATCTTTATTGAGTGAATTACAAGGATGAAAATGTCAGTCTTTCTTGAAACCTGAAACGGTCACAATACCTGCAACATCCTCCTTGGAATGTCTCTTGATCTCTCTTCCCCCATTACACCACAAGACCATGATCCTGGACTTTCAACATCAAGGCAGCTTTCTTTTCCCCCCTCCCCTGGCAGTAACATCTGGAGATCTCTTATCTGATTAACAAGTCTGGAGATATGAAAAGCTTATACACACATTTCTTGATCTCCTTTTGGTTGGTCTAACAAAGTATTAGAATAATGGTGAAGCTCCACTATTATATGGAACTTTGTCACATTCTATCACCTATCAGGCTATTTCAGAGGCCATCTATGATGTGCCATTAGATTGCTGGGCTGAGACTCAGGAGATCCACATTCTAGTCCCCACTTAGCCATGAAGCTCACATGACTCTTAGACTACCCTACCTCACAGGACTGTTGTGAGAATAAAAATGGAATGGGGGAGAATCATGTAAGCCACCTTGGATTCCTTGGAGGAAAAAAGATAAGATATACATTTAATAGTAAATACTTAAAGAAAATCTCCAAAGGCAAATGGATCCAAATTCTGCCCTAATATATAAGATGCACTGAATTTATTAAAGAATTATACCTTCAGTAACGTACTATATTATTCTCTCAGTACAATATATTCAGGAATGAGCTCTTAAAATGAAGGAATCTCCCCAAATTAAGGTATATAAATTAAAAGGCATCAGGGCAACTATAAAACAGATCAAATTCTTTACTGAAGTGAAGGAATGTACAAGCAAACAGGAATTTTGCATCACTTTTTGACAGTCTGTACAGAAAATGCTTTTCTACACATCACTGACATTATTTAGGGGAATGCATTCACTTGAACAGAATAAAACAAATATTGTAAATTGTGAAAAAGCAAGTTATAAATGCCAATATTTAATTACTTCCAGAAATAATTAAATGTCCCATATCATATATGATGTATGAGACTGCCTGATTAGCTAATGAATGGGGAGGCATCAGAATTGTTAGGATACTTCCATATTCTCTAGAAACTAGGCATTTGGTACCTTTAGGTTCACAGGACTACCAGACCTACCACAGGGGATTCAGACATCTTTCACCATGAAGCCTCCCATGTTTTCCTACTACTCTTTCCATCTTTTTTTCTTAGAAAATCCATGAAGAAAGAAGAGATGAAAAAGCTGCAGAATGCCTTCTGACAGACAGTACCACATCTACTCTATCTAAAAACATCCCTAGATTGGCTTAAAAATGGGACATGTGCACACATTTTTCTCTGAGAACAATGACCCATACTCCAAAATACTTTTATGAGATAGAAACCTGAAAATGGGTATAGTTTAACATTTTTTGCCATTACAATTAGTAATTTCACATACATATGTTTATGAATAATATACATGTACACAATCACTTTTCACTACTTGGATGGAATATGCTGTTATTTCACCACATTTCAATACCGGACAATTTAATGTGACTCTACAAGAGCTTGGTTTGGCGTTGTGCAGAATGAGTTTACATAAGGGAACACCTTATGCAGATGAAACAGATTCAGGGAGTACAAAGCCACTAACAGCTACTAGTAGTGATGGTAATATGCTACCTCAAAGGTGTATCAAAGGTGGTACACCCATGTGCACCAGTTGCATTCATCTCCTGACTGTGGGCTTTCTGTTGGCTACTGTGTGAACAGAATGTTGGACAAGAGAGGCTATTGGCCTGATCACTTGTATGGGTGTTTTTAAAGCAGCAGGCCCTAGCTCAATAGTAGGATAGTAAGCACAGGACAGACAGTCAGAAGAAAGAGAACAGGCAGCTTCTATTACAGGGCAATGCATCACCAAGGAATAATTTTCATGGAATATTTAGGGCTGCCTGTGCAATATGCATATATGTGGGAATAGTGGGGATTAAATAAGATATTTAATTGGATCCAGATGATACAAGCCATGGAGCCTGCCCACCACAGCGTGAATATTCACAGTGGCTGCTGGCCCACATTGGCTTGAATAAACCACACTGGGCTATAGCAATTGTTCACCGGGCCTGGGGCTAAGTCCACTAGAAGGGTGCCCATGTCTGAGAGGTTTAATTTTATAAAGCAAGGGCCAGTGCTTCCAGACAAAGCTCCTAGAGTGTCATTCTACGGCTCAGTTGCCAGAATTTTACAGCTGTCTGGAAAACGTCTTCTTCCAACGCAAAAGCTTCTGCTTTCCTTCCCTCTTACCACAATTATCCCATTAAGAAAGAACAGTCAGAAAAGGTGCGCGTTGCCCTCTCGCTGGTATAACAGGAGACTGGTCTGTTAGCACCGCAAGGCACACCTTGATGGCTGCAGCTTCGCGAGCGATAGATACTTCACATGCGCGATTGAGCCGTCCCAGATGGCACTCTCCTGCAACCTCACTTCGCGGCCATGCTTCCTCGCCAAGTCCTTTCCGGCATTCGGCCGCCGAATTACTGCTAGCGTGCGAAATGCAAGCCACGTACAGCATCACGCGTGCGCAAATCAGGCCCACATAAAACCGTGGCCCAAAGCGAAATCGGGAAAGAAGGAGATCTGCGTAGGGAGGGGAGTGACAATACCGAAAAGCCAGTGGTGAAGAGGAAGAGGAGGGCGGGCAGGGGCGTCCCGAACTGGCCGGCACAGAGCGAGGCGTCGTTGTGATGCGCAAGGGAATAAATGCATGCACATATAAAGCAAGCAAGTTGAGAGGCGTTGCAAAAGCAGCCTGTCGCCTCGCGCTGGCCTTACCAGCATCTGGAAGACGTAGGCGGCCTCCAGCAGGGCGCTGGTGACACCGCACAGGCCTTCCTCCACCACAGCCGGAAAGTTCTGCTTCACGAGCATGCTCAGGGCTCTGCCTTGGCGGTGGATGGTGCAGAACGGCAGGCCGCTCTTGAGCCTCTTGGGGCTGGGTTCGGCCATGGCGAGCTGCCGCCGCCCCTTCGCCGCCGGCCTCTTCTTCCGCCCAGCCCGAGTCCTGAGGCACGACGGGGCCGCCGCGTCACTGGGAAATTCACCGGAGCTGGGATGGCCAAGAACAGCCTAGCCTGGTCTGTGGCTTTGAGGGCGGCCAGGAAGCAGCCGCCGGCGAAAGAGGGAAGGTGCGCGCTCGCCTCTCTGCGCGGCTATATATGCGCGCCACTCGGGGGTCAAGGCGCGAGGGGCAGGGCTGGTGGTTAGCACCTGGCGCACACCTGGCCGCGGGCACTGCCCCAAATCACGCCCTTTCCTGCCCGAACGGAGCTGACGAACGGCGCTTGACAGGACTCCTCCGGGGCTTGCAGGGAGCGCTCCCCGCTCCCGCCACGCACCCTCCCACCCCGTTCCCTTACCCCTAGCCGGGGCCTTACGCAATCCAGCCGGTGGCGTTTGGAAGGGCGCAGCCCTGCGTGTGTTCAGTCGGGCATACGGAGCGCAGACTTTCCTAGGCCTTCCTGCCAAGGAGAACTACTTCTAATAACGCAGACTTACTTCCCCGGTTGCCTTACGGCGGAGAACAGTGGAATTCAATATTGATAAATTATGAAGCCTCCTGAAATTTCGACCATTTTTAAATAAGCCGGCTAGAATGCAACGACAGGAAATAAGAGTAGAGCTCCAATACGTAGCAACAGCAAACACAGTAAAGCCTTATCAGCTAAAAGCCAGAATAAAACTATGTGCTTTTACAGCCTTCTTAAAAGCAGCCAATAAAGAGCTAGCCAGCCATCTCTTGGGAGCAAATTCCACAGGGAAGCAACTGCTCCTAAGATGCTGCAGGACTCCACGCCAAAGTCAGCTTTCCCAATTTCAACGTTTTAACAAAGGCCAGTGCTACAGCTCATAAGAGCCTGTTACATTGACTTAGTTATTTGGAGCAGTTGAAGAAATGCTAATTAAACAAGGTCATACTTTTTATTAATATATAAAAATAACCTTAATAATTTGACCAATGGCTCTCAACAGTTCTCCTAACCTGAGTCTCTGTGTAGATACTACAGTTTATACATAATTAAGTCAGCAGAAGAATGGAACCTGAACTGATCCGTTCTCTTTACAGTACACCTTGTAAAAGTCTTCTTTGCAACTTGCCAACTAAGAAGACTTTCACATGTCATAAGGGGCCTCTTCAACATGTGGCAGATAGTATACGCCGCATCCTAGCTTTGCTACTCCTTGTGCTGATATTCCAGAAGCCATGAACAATACGTAACAGTAAGCATTAAAACAATTAACAAATTAGGGCAGATATTTGTAACAGGGAAGATGATGCTGAGTCCAAATGGAGAAAGATTTCTTTCTAGTGCTGTCAAATAAACACTGGAGCTGATACAGCTTTTTCCCACTAAAACAACCTGTTAAGTGGCTCTCAGCTGAGTAAGTGGGAGTCAGTGATAGGCAGATATGCCCAGGCTTATTCGATGTAGTAAGAGGTTTAAATTCCAGTTATTGGACTCTGATTGGCTGTAGTGGACATTAGCTCACTCAGTTTTCTTAGCTTTCTTTCTGAAACAGGCAGTGGTGAGACCAATCCTGAAGGAATCCTCCCTTGACCAGAAGACCTTAAAGCCTGTAACAGATGTTCCTCTCTTGGGCAAGGTTATTGAGCAGCTGGTTGCTACCCAACTCCAGGCACTGTTGGATGACACAGATTACTTGGATCCATTTCCATTGGTGTTCAGGCTGGGTTTTGGCACAGAAATACCCTTGGTTGTTTTGTAGGATGACCTGTGTGGGAGATAGACAGGTGGAATGGGCCTTTTGATGCTCCCAGACTTCTCAGCAGCTATCCAGGTCACTAATACTGGTATCCTTCTGGGGCAACTTCCTGAGCTGGGAGTGCGGGCTACTGTCCTACATTACAGTGGCTCTACTCTTGCTTGGAGGGCCATCTCCAGAAATTGGTGCTTGGGGAATATTGTTCAACCCTGTGAATTTTCCAGCATGGAGTTCCTCAGGGGTTTGTCTTTAAAACTGGTTTGAGTAATACTGTGAATTTGTGTTGATTGTACTAGTACTCTCAGAATTCTGCTTCTACGGATGATCCAATTCCCTTCTATTAATTTAACAGATATTGTGGACATGTGAAGTTCTGTCCCTTTTCTTCTGATCTCTTTACTATTAAATTGAGGCTAAAATTGGAAGTTAAAGCTTAGACAGTTTTGGAAAAAGCAACACATGGGAGGCATATTATGCAAACACTGTGGTGACCTATTTACTTTATCATGTGTAATAATAAATTTCATTTTTCAAAGAATTCAAGAAAAAACTAATAAGCATACTCAGAGTCCAATGAACTGGAAGTGTGATTAGTTTGTTTTGAGATTTGATAAGTTTCTGTCCAATGAGTTTCTACATAATTGAATTTAATAGTACTACTCCCTTTTGATTCATAATTACCTTTGTGTAAATTTTTATGCCATTATATGCTCCAATTATTACAGGAATTGCCTCAAACTATGACATGGAATTTAGAACATCAGCATTCACATGGAAGGAAATGTGAAAAGAGTTTACATGTTTCTACATTAATCTTTACATGTTAAATATATTACTACTACTACTTTATTAGAGTTTAATACTAAGGCTTTTTGTGAGTACCCTTGACTGATAGAAATATGAACAAGTGAACCCTAGATCAAATCAAGGCAGAGCTTCCCCTGGAAGCAAAAATGACACACTGAGGCTGTCATACTTTGGGCACATCAGGAGAAGGCAAGACGCACAGGAGAAGGCGATCATGCTAGGGAATCTCAAAGGCAGAAGAAGAGAAGGAAGACCAAATAAGAGACGGATTGATTCCATGAAGGAAGCCACAACCCTGAATTTGGAACAGCTGAGCAGCAATGCCATGGCTAGGGCAATTTGGAGGACTTGTATTCATAGGGTTGCCATAGATGGGAGACGACTTGACAGCATACAACCACCACCTAAGGCTTCTGCAGAAAGTTAGAGGCAGGCATTTAATGAGCCCTCTGAGGTCATATCTAACAAGACTATATTAGTGAGGGGTGGTGGGCATTTTTTTATCCTTATAGGCCATGCTGTAATTTTGAAGTACATGAGCTCATCCTGAGAGTATACACGCACAGTATAATACCTGGCTTAGGGTTAGAGGCAACATGACTGCAATCCTATGCAGAGTTTCCTGAGAGTAAGTGCCACTTAACTTGGTCATGCTTACCTCTGCATTAGTTCAACTTCTGTGGCACACCACTGAGCTGTAAACAAAGAGCTTAAGCTGGCTGAAAGGCAACCTTTAGCTTCCTCTTTCTGTTCGTACATTATGAGCGATTGACTAACAGAGTAATTTCAAAATATATTTAGACCTAAATGTTCTGGCTTCGAATCTCAGCAGTAGCTGTAATGTTAAATGGATATCAAGAGTGGCGGTTTGGAATAACACCTTACAAAAATTACAAATGCAAAATAAAATATATAGATATAGCTATTTGGGCATTGCTTAACAACAAGCATTCTACCTCCTACTTTTCTAAGTTTCATAACAGGTACATTATTTATTCAATTTATATGCCATCCCACTAGCCATAGGCTCTTTGGGTGCTTACAACATATCAACATAATAATCTCTGTCTACTCCAAAAATGTACACTAGTCATACAATGTGGTATACTTATTTAACATTTTTGTTTTATAAAAGGAATAAATGGCATCCAAAGTTGTTCAAGTTTGATTTATTGTCTGCCTTTGTGTAGATGAACAAATTCTGTTAATTCACCCACTGAGGCAAGGTACCATATTTTGTTAGCCTATTCCTTTAAAGGAGTCCTGCTTAATCTGCATTTGACAGGTATGACTAATTTTGCAGCTAATTTTGAGATTCACTGTTGTATAGTAGTGGAATGCTGGACTAGATCTTGAGAGGTCTAGTTACTACTCACCCAATGAAGCTCACTAGGCTCAGGGTTGTTATCGGGAGGATAAAATGAAGAGGAGGAGGTAACTCATCTTGGGTTCCTTGCAGGAAAAAAGGCAGGAAAAAAAAATTAATAAGACATCCTACCAATTTCACAACACCATTAAGGTACCCAGAGATTTCTCTCAGAAATGTCTGATATATTTTATAAATGCATTTTTAGCTTCAAATTAGAAATGTAAATAACCTTGCCAAGAAGTTTCACTATTTAAGCTGCTAGCATGAAGTGGAACCTCATTCAGGAAGGGAATGAAGGAAGTGGCACTTCATCAACATACTCGGAAGAAGTTCCATGGTTTTGAATATGATTTTTTAGGTGTATTGATTCATGTTTAGTCCAAATGCCAGATGGCCTCTGGGTGAATTACAATAATTAAAAACAGTAAAATACAGCCAAAGCAAAAGAATGAAATATTAAAACGTTACAGATTTTTAAATATATTAAAGATCCATCCCACTAACCTAACAATAATATATAGTGTTGCTAAATTCTTTGTGGCCGCGATGGTTGTCCAAAGACAGATCCTGGGAGATTGTGGCTCTATCTAGTTGGACAAGGACAAAGTTTGGGATTGTCACCAATTTTAGATGACTGATATTATTTTGAAGTATTTATTAATCCAAGTGGGGTTTAATATAGAAATGTTTTATGTATTTTTTAAAATCTATGTATTTATTGAATGGAGCTGGTCTTTGACCACAGTAAAATTTATCTATCTATCTAAGATCCATCAGTAAATTCATCACACCAGATTGCCTGCTTAGAATTACATCCCGAGAAAGGTCAAATCTTCACAGGGTTCTGCTGGCCTAGAGCCACATTTCATTCCATTGAGCTTTTATGTGCAGGGACAGTGCTCTTTGGACTACTTGAGACTGAACACTTTAAATAATAGTCTTGGGACATGTTTGCACTGGCACAGATCTTCAGGTTGGCTGAGCATCAGGCTCATCCCAATGCAGCATCAACCCATATAGGAGCCTCACTACACACAGGACTAATTCTGGTAGGTTTCATTCTGCCAATGAAGCTGGACATCATGGTGACAAATCATATTTGCATATGGAAAAATTTGCTTTAGAACAAACTCGGGAATTTACCTCTGCCAAATCGAGTGGCAAAGAAGAGCTACAGTCAGGAGGTTCATGTATCCAGGGAAAGGAACCGCAAATACTTTCCATCTTTTCCTCAAGCACCCATGTGAACTTTGCTGCCTGTTTTCAAGAAGTTCTTTATCCTGCAAGATGGTTGCTCTGTTCATTTTCTGGATTAGGTACCGCATCTCCACTTGGCACAGAAAATGTGCAGCTGCTGTCCAACACTCAGTTTTATGGCACAGAGATTTATTTTTTTTCATTCAAAGGCAGTGTGAAAGCCCTTATGAATCACCAAATTTGTAATCACTTTAAGACATTAGAATGCTTTTTCTGAGGTAAAAATAGTGGTTTTGACCGGTCTAGTCGGGTGTATCGCCTGTGCTACAAAGGACAAGAACTGACCCAGCGTATGGCTATTACAAATACAACTGAAAATATTTTCCTTCCTGCTTGCATGCATCATTTCATTTTTCCCTGCATTATGTCACAGTTTAAGAATGAATATGTAAATTGTGTCAGCTGTCAATTATTCCAGGTCCCTAAAAATATCTGTACCAGTCTTCTCTGTTGAAAGGCAGTAGAGAGATCTGCTTAGACAAAGATCAGCTTCCAGACTTAGTAGGCAACCTTAAAAAATGAAAGTCATATCTTAGGCCTGTGTTTCAGAGAACACATGCCTGTTTACCTTTAAAACTATAAGTCCAGCTTATCTCCTCAATAAAGAAAACTTCGGCAGGTATTGTCCCCACCCATTTCATTCCCAT